ACTGGCCTGGGTGACCTTGGGCAAATCTTTTCACCGCCCTGGGCCTCGGTTTCCCCATCTGTAAAACGGGGCTAATAATACTGCCCTCCTTTGTATCGCACTTGGAGCTCTGCTGATGAAAAGAGCTAAGAAGTATTCTTATGGGAGTGGGAAGGGTTTCCTGGAGCTAGGGCTCTAGCTAAGGACTTAGGAAACCTTGATACAGGTCCCAGCTCTGCTATAGGCTTTCAGCAAGTTCCACATTGGAAAAATGGGGGTCTTGGCACGTCCCTCACTCCGGGAGTGCTGTGAGGGTAAATGCAGGTCGTACTTTAGCTGTGTCCAGAAATGTATCATTGTTATTTATAGGCATGAAGATGGCACCAAGAGTGAGGTCCCATTGTACCAGACACATCATAGTTCCTCCCTGAAGAGTTTACATTCTATCTCTTATTCTATACAGCGCCTAGCACAATGGGGCCCTGATCTCAGCTGGGGTCCTTAGGCACGGCCATAATACGAATAACCTCATTTCATTATGTCTAAATAGGCAAGCCAGACAACAAGAGGCAGAAAGGAAACATTATCCCCATTTCACATAGGGGAAACTGAGGCACAGAGCAATTAAACTGACTTGCCAAAGGTCGCAGAGGTGGGACCTGAACCCATGCTTCCTGAGGCATCAGGCAGTGCCTAAACCGCAAGATCGTCCTCATACATTTTCTTAGCATGTTTCCTTGTAAGTGACTAATGGAGTTGGAATGATGGGACTATTGTTTAGGGCTTTTTGGAAAGTTTTAAACCTGTTCTTCTTAAAGCGCACACATATACCTATGTATAAGGGTACCACTGACTGGACCGTCAGTGTGGAAAATCATTTGAAACCACAGTCAGTCAAGACTGCCCTCTGGAGGCAGATAATATCATCCTTAGTTCTGTAATTCAATATAAATGTATTTCTAAAAACTAACTGAAACAAAAATGTCAAGCCCCTAAACTGACATATATAAATGGAGTAACTCATTATAGCGAGGAGAAATCTGAATGAATCTTTGCATAATACTGCAGGGGTTTATGTATTTATAGTCTAAATTAACAGCACTTATAAATCAAGGGTGACCTCTGGTGGCCAAATTTACATGATTGAGTATTTAATACACTTATTGTATATTGATATCATACAATGATATATATATTGGTGTTTGATACACTCGCCCACTTATTAGGGCCTGACTTTGAGCAGTACAGGTGCTAATCAGGGCCACAATTCTTTTTCACAAGTTAGCTAAAGAAAATGCTAAGCTGTCAACATGTCTGAACTGTAGTTTCACATCTTTACGACCAAGACGTTTTCACTGAGTACACTAGAATATAATCTGGCAAGAAACAAATCCTGTCCATGGATCTTTTCCTAAAGAGATGTGTTCTTATCCACTGGGTTTTGTTTAAAAGGAAAACTAATCAAATGTATTATTTCAACCTCAGGAGATGCAGTATTTACATAGGCTGGGCCAAATTCTGTTCTCAGTTACTCTGAATTTATTCTGATAGTTTCAGTTGAGTTCCTCTGGGTTCACACCATGTAAGTGAACTCAGAGTCAGGCCCTGTGTACACAAATAATTCACTGTCTTTTTTTTTCATTTGCACACTTCACTGTCAGCTACAGGCCTGAATGAAAACCTCAGATTCAACATCCTATGAGTCCGGATGCCTTGCTGCATCTTGAGCCAATATTTGCAGTGTAAGGTCTGTTCAAATTGTTCTCCCATATGGGAAAAGTTGTCTCCTGGGGCCGATTGTTGCTAGTTCTTTCATCGAAATTGACACAGTCACACGGGTGGAATATTGGGGGCCAGCTGCGAATTCAGTAGAGAACACACTTCCAAGAGTTAGTCATATCACAGAGTGATATTCACTGTGTGAAGGTAATTTAACCTGGATTGCAAGCAGCTGATCTATGTCTAACACTGGATGAATGGATAGATCGATCCTGAATTCAGTTGACTAAACACTACCCCCCTCCAATCCTCTTTATAACAGTCTGTGTGAGGTGAGAACGCACTCTATAAGACACTGATTATTCCCCTTGCTTGGGAGTTCATTATCTACACTAGCAAGAGAGGATAAAACAGCACTGACATCTAGCGGTTGTTTTTGGAGTGGTAGGACTGTATGTACTTTATCTAAGATGTTGTCACTAGACAGCACAGGGAAGGCAGAGGAGTGAGTGCAAATTAACCAGGGTCAGTGCTGCAAAAATGAAGTAAACTTCCAAATCAGGCAGGTGACCCAAGACAATGTATCACAGGTGACAGGTGAAAGTGATCAGTAGATACTGGAGGCTTTTGATTGCTACAGAATCATGGGAGCATGTGCAATGGGCCCGATCCTGGAAACAAAACTGCCACAGAAGTCAACGTCTTAGAATTGGGGTTCTGCGTTTTGAATAGTGGTGGCTTCCCTGAGGTTTCTGTTTCTTAGTCTTCTGGCTCAGTGCAGTGATAGATTCAGGTGTTTGGGGAGGGGGGGGAGAAAGAGTTTGCAAACAATTTGATCAAAGGGGCTTTAAACTCACATTGATTATTAATTAGATGCTTTTATATGCTCAGCCCCTCTCATTGAAATCAAGGTCCCATTGAAATCAAAGGGAGCTTTGCCACTGACTTCAGTAAGACTGGCATGGAACCATAAACTCCTATCCTCCGTTGGTGGTTTGTAAAGTGGATCTGAAAGGGTTACAACAAGAAACAAATACTCCAGAGAAGTCAGTGGGGTTTTTTTTCATCTGCTCCTCAGATCTGTGAAAGGACAATGCCTGAAGCCGGAGGTGAAAACCAGGTTTGGTTCTGTTATCCCAAAGCACTCCTTAGAACTCACTTTAACAAGTCCGGAGAGACTTGTATCAGCTACAAGAAACTACGAGCTACTGTTTGCAGACAAAACCACTAATGAAAACCAGGCCAGGGCTGCCTAAAATCTAAGATATAAATGTGTCCTCATAGGTCAAAAGCATGGATTAGAAATGAGCTGCATCCTATTGGAAAGATGTGTCCCGCCGTGCCTTGTGTAGATGTTACTGCCATAGTCAAGCTTGCTGGGGGTCATAATTTATATCCTGTTATCCCCAAATTCCCTTCTACCAAACCCTAGTCACGTTTGTTTCTATGCACATTATATGGATGTATCCTAGGGCAGTGAGAGGCCATCCTTCTCGTCAACTATCCTTAAAGAAAAGGAGTCAGTCAGGACGCCTGGGTTCTATTCATTGACTCTCTGCGTGACCCTGTCAGATGTCAGCTATCTCTGCCTCGGTTTCTTTAAAATGGGGATGAGAATATCGACCTCACAGATTGTGAGGCTCTAGTCATCAGTGGATGAAAGAGACTACAGAAGGGCCGTGCTGCAAGTGGGAACTTTGCTATTTTTGGGTTACTTTAAGAAATGTGAAGTGATTCTGAAGGTGACATTCTTCCAGAAAAATCACTATGTAAAAATGGCCTCTTCTAACACCCCCCAGCCATGTGCAGCAGAGTCAGACCTGCAGGTTTTAATTACAAAATAAATATATATTTATGCCTGTGTCTGTAATTTTCACTCCATGCAACTGAAGAAGTGCTTAATGCCCAAATAAATCTGTTCAATCTTGAAGATGCCACTGGACTCCTTGGTTTTTTATGTTTTGTTTTGTTTTGTTTTTTAATAAATATACATCTTAGTACTCTGTCCCCTCTGAAGCACAGAGAATGCACGCTGGAGTCCATTCTAGCTCAGGGGTCATAAGCAACAGGATTAGCAGCTAAGATCCAGCAGCAGTAGCCTCCTTATTGTAGATGCTACTGGGTGGGTGAAAGAGGCCCCAGCTTGACTTTCAGATCCCATATTGAGCTGGTGGGAACCATTATTTGTAAACTGAGCACGTTTAATACTGAGCCACTGAGAGAGAGGTCACGGATGGATCACCACCATGTTGTTTTTACAGCTCCCTTTAAAAAGACAAGCAGTAATTAGAAACTTGGCCCCTGGATAGCACTCTATTTAGAGACACTGCTGTGTGTTTACTATATAGGTAGAGATGTGGTTTTTAAATAGAGACCATCGGAGAGAGGGGCAGATGTAAATACGCCTTATACTAAGACATTTGTGTAGGGAAAATAGCCTCTAAACCATGATCCTGCCCCCTCCCCCCCCCCCAAGTCCTAGCCATAAAACTTGATTTCCTGCTAGCTAGAGCTTCAAAAGGCTGCGTTAGCCTTTCAAATATTTGAAGGGTTAGACTTTAAAACACAGGTTAGATTGGCTGATCTCTGGGGTTTCATGCGCTGGAGGGGAAAGGAAGTTTTGGCCCAATCCTGAGCACCTGCAACTCCACTGAGGCTCATGAGAATTGGGGGTGTGCTTTGCAAAAACGAGGCTCATTGCCAAGAGAGTTGGCTGCAGAAGGAGCACCTGCAATGATGTTCCATAGGATTTTTAATAGGAGCGGAAGAGAAATGCAAAGCTTTGGTATCTCTGGGGCTAAGTGGGAAAAGGGGCTTAGAAGGAAAGAAACAATATATCAAAGGAGGCGATTTCCCTCTCGCCTTCACAACAGCTGCTCCCTGGTTCTAAGAACTTTCCCAGCCAAGAACATCTGCTTTCTGTTGGAGCTGTGTTCTGCATTCTCCTTGCTGGGCACATGCTAACAGGTGACTTACCTGCCCCTGCAGCTTCCAGATCTAGGAATCCCACTCCCTAGGAAGACCCTCCGGCATCAAGCTAGCTGTGATTTCTGTTTCTCTAAATCATGAGATGGGATAGTTTCAGGAATACCCCCCTCGGGGCACACCACACAAAAAAAGGTGGGGAAGGAGCAATGTGGTTTGGGCCATTTTATTCTCATAGGCACACACCAAGAATCTTCTTTACCCACTAGTCCATAAAGCCTGGTGCTTTATTTTGGCTTTAGGAAAACAGCTTCGTTCAAACCCTCAGGATTCAGCTGCTTGTGTGATGTTCTGTTCAGAGACCGCATTCCCTGTGTGACAGCATTTGCTTCTGGACCACAGGGTGTATTGCCGCTGGCTGATATATGCGTGGGACTGTGGACTACAGAGTCAAAACTTGATGCAATAGGTTTGCCTTCAGCCCTGACGACAATGCTGTCTGAAAGGTAAGGGGCTGATTCTGCTCTCGGTGGGTCTCCTGCAATGGGTGGGCGCCGATTCAGGCCCCAAGGGTCTGACACTGACATGGCAATCTGAAGCAACTCCTCTGGACTCAGTGGGGGTGAAACTGGTGTAAGCTGGGGGCGGGGAGGAGGGTCTGCGTCTGATCTCCGTGTAAATCAGGACTAACTCCCCTGAAATCCAGGCGCTTCTTGCTGTGAGAGCGGGCTCTTTGATCTCGGCAGAGGTTGGGCTGAAGGAGTTAATACGGAGCGAGTAAAAGGGGGGGGAATGCTGGAGTTGACACTTAAACAGGAGAGGCGGGTCCCTCTGGCTCCTGATTGGCCTCCACTTCCATCCAAAACTTTTTTTTTTTCCTTTTCACTTCTCCTCCTCCTGCTTCTCCGGGTCCCAGGGGAGGGGAAAGTGGAATAGTGCGAGATCAAAAATAAACCTCTTATGTCAAACGAGGGGGAAGAAAGTATAAATACTGAGAAGTCGGCAGCCTGCTTTGGGGCTGCAAAGGCTTTGGAGGGGCTGCTCCAGGCGAGCTTGGCCAGAAGCGTCAGGGGAAGACAGGCGGGAAGCAAACTCTTAGCGAGAGTGAGAAGCCCCTTCCCCAAGCCCCATCCGGCTCAGCACCTTGCCCAAGCAGCCAGCTGACTTGCTGCTGCTGGGTGTTTGGCTTGCCAAGGTGCAGGGAGCTGGTGCTGACCCCCAGTCCGGGCTCCGGAGGGAAGCGGAGCTTTCCCCATCTCTCTCGCTCTCCTCTTGCTGGTAATTAAACCAGCCGGCGTTAATCTCTCCCTCTTCTATTGCATCTGGCTTCACTCCCCAGCGCCGGTCCCACGCCGGCTTGCGGAGAGCGCCCTGCCCTGCCCTGCCGGGGGTGGCACTTGGGTCTCCCGTCGCACTGGTCCGGTTCCAAGCCCGTGGCATCCATGCCCCTGTCCCGTCGGGAGCCGCCCCTGCCTGGCAGGCTGGCACCTGCCTTCCCCCTCCTGCTGCTGCTGGGCGCTGCCCGCGCGCTGCCCCGCCAGCCCGGGGACTCCCAGGAGGTGGTGCCGGTGCGGATCCCAGACCCGCGGGGCGGAGAGCAGGTCTCCTTCTGCCTCTCCGCCTTCAGCCGGGACTTCGTGCTGCAGCTGGTGCCCGACGCCCGCTTCCTCGCCCCCGGGCTGAAGATTCAGCGCCTGGGCCGGCCGGGCCCGCGGGCGGAGGAAGACGAGGCGGGGCTGAGGAAATGCTTCTACTCCGGGACCGTCAACTCGCAGCCCGGCTCGCTGGCGGCCGTCAGCCTGTGCCGGGGCATCCGCGGCTCCTTCCTGGTGGACGGGGACGAGTACCTCGTCCAGCCCGCAGCCCGCAGGGGCGGCGATCCCCTGCTGCAGCCGCATCGGCTCCAGAGGAGGCGGGCGCCCGAGCCTCCCGAGCCCGGGAGCGAGCTGCCCGTGGAGACCAGCCGCCGAGCCAAGCGCTTCGTGTCCGCGGCCCGCTTCGTGGAGACGCTGCTGGTGGCCGACGCGTCCATGGTCCAGTTCTACGGGGAAGAGCTGAAGGTAAGAAGATGCTGCCCCCACCCCGCCTCCAGCCCCTGGCAGGTCCCTTTCCACCCTCCACGCGTGATCTGACACCCGTGGGAATGAGAGGGGGCAGGATCCAGCCCCTTGCGATGAGCATCTCTGGTTCCTGGGGGAGCCTCCCAATCAGAGATCCAGGGGTGAGCCCCACTGGGGAGCAGCCACGCTCAGGGGTCGCGCTGACTTCAGGGCGAGGAGCCGCCTCCCGGCCTATTGTCTCCCCCTGGACGGAGCGGAGCTTCGAGGAGACCTGCTGTCTCAGCTCAGAAACCAAGCCCCGGTGTTAGCGCGGCGCTCCCCACAAGGGCTAGAGGCTTCTCGCTCCTGTCTCCGCACTTGAAGCCACCGTGAAGAAATACCCTGAGCTCAGGGGTGAGCCTGAGGGGTTCCGGTTTGGGAGCTGCTGGTGATTGTCCACGAGCTTGCTTTGCAAAGGCTCTGCGGCTCGTCCCTCTCCGGGTACCCTGACTGGGTGGCAGGTGGGAAGGGAGAGACCTGAATTCACCCTCTGGTGACCACGGGCGTTTCTAAACATGGCCAGTGCCCCGGCTCCCAGGGCGGGTTGTGACGCTTACCTGTATGGAAACATCCTATGATCAGACAAATAACGGGCTGCTATAGAAATCGGTCTAAAAACCTGAGCGCCTTTCAATAGGGTCTTGGCCCCACCTGGCTGAATTTTGTAGCAGGGATATATTTCTATGAGAGACTATAGCATGGTCCCCCATCCCCCTCCAAACAAGTGTATTGTCTTCCATTACATTCTCTGTGCTTTTGACATAAGGCTGGTTAACTAATGTTCCTAAAGTGCTTTCAGATCCTAAGTGTCCCTGAAGTGTGAGTTTGAGACATAGATATCAAATGAAAGAGATGATCCTTGAAGGTGAACATAAGAACGGCCAGACTTGGTCAGACCAATGGTCCGTCTAGCCCAGTATCCTGCCTTCTGACAGTGGCCCGTGCCAGGTGCCCCAGAGGGAATGAACAGAACAGGGAATCCATCCCTTGTCGCCCATTCCCAGGCCAGCCCTGGTTATGCCCAGTTGATCTACAGCATCTGTAACGTGGGCTTTCAAACCTGTAATGAGCATGATCACTTGCATATCCCTCACTGAGGTCCAGCTACATCCCAAGTGTGACGCATTTTAAAACTCAGCTATTGTTAAGCCATGTTTGTGCATTCTCTCACACACACACAAATGACTGTGGAGTGATTTGGGGTGTTTTAACCAGATTAATAGTATTTTCCTTATCTGAGCCATTCAAAGATAGCTGCATGGGTTTTGATGAAGCTTTGTTGCACTCTTGAGCTGACAAACGGTGCAGTTTCAGCCTAAAAGGAAAACTGTGGAGACTGTTCTGAGCAGCTGAGTTGATTTGCCCTCACCCTTAACTGTAACAGCATTGTCACTAGCTATGGGTTAGTACCTTTCATGTCGCTACAGAGCTAGCCGGGGAAGTAGGAAACGCTGTTGTAGCAGGAGGTGAAGGAAGTGTCTCTGGCCAATGGAGTGAGCCGTGTCTAGGCCTGCATTTCACCAAGGAGAAAGTGCTACTTTTTCACCTGGTTCTGAAACCTGGTTCATCAGGGTTTGGAGGGGAGAGGGGGAAAAGGGGGTAATATCTCTGTCTCTTGGATATATAGGGAAAGTGCTCTGCTGCAAAACAAGGGGATTAACTGAATTCCCTCTTGGAGCTTTAGCACGGTGAGTAATGCAAGCCTCAGCGGAACAATGCACTAGCCTGCTTGGGGTTAGCCACCTGCTATCAGTTAGCGCAGACCCTCCCTGCACACGAACACATTCATGCCATGAGGCAAACAGACTCTTCCCCATGCTTCTGCCCTGGGAAACGTTCTCTCTTCTATGGGAGAAGAGGTGTCCTTGGCCCGGTACGAGTCCAGGTCTCACGTGTCCATAGCATCATACCAATGGCACTGATTGGCCCCACGTTCAGTGTGAATGGAGAGGCAAAGGACTGAATCACCCGTGGAGGCTGATCTCCCCTCTCACCCTCCAGGTCGGGACTGATGCTTTCTAGCAAGGTGCATGCCCTGCCAAGCCTGCTCTATGGACAGAGAGTGTCTGTCTCCAGGGCTGTCAGTCTGGACCCCCGTCACCAGCACTGTCACTTTTCAAACCCTTGGCCTATAGTCTCTGCCCAAACCCAACTTCTACTCATCTTCCCAGCCATCAGATGCACCATAAGCAATTGTACAAGTGTAAGCATGAAATCTACCTGCTCTTGTATGGGGGCATATGGCACATTTAGACAGCAGAACACAATCTACCCCGGAAATCCCTGTATAACTTCCATTAGTGTAATAATAACAATCCCTAGGTCTTATAGTGCTTTTTATCTGCCAATCTCATAGTTTTTTTGCAAGGGAGGTCAGTATCCCTCTCCCCTTTTTTACAGATGGGGAAACTGAGGCACACAGAGGGCCATGACTTGCCCAAGTGTAGGGGGAAAGGAGACCATGCCTCATGAGGCAAATATACCCCAGCCATCACTGGCACCGAGTGGAATCCACACCACTCCGTATATTACCCTGCCACCTGCTTGTGCAGGTATTTGCCATTGTTTTGGAGGCCTGTATTCTGCAGCAGAGGGTGGATCTGGCACTGAAGGCCGGACTGATTCTAGGTTTGTCGTCACGTGGTTTGAGTGACCCGCTCGTGCTTTTAGGTACTAAAGTGACAGAGGGTGCAAGAGACTGGCACCAGTGTGTTAAACAGTAAAGTCTGTAGGATAGCAGCAGTTGATCCTAAATGGCGAATGGTCCATAACCAGTGTGGGCATGGGGGTGTGTATACACACACATACTGGGGAGGATGTGCAAGAGACAAGACAAAGCCTGACTCTGCAGTAGTCCTAGGTCCTGAGCTCAGATTGAAGCAATGGGATACAGGGGTGGGTAAATTGTAGCCAGATGAAACCCATGTGCTGCATTTTGACTGAAGTAAGCAAGCAGCCAGCAGGATTAAGGTGGGATCTGACCCCTTCGCAAAGGCTTCCCCTCATGTTCTCCCCAGTGGGGGCACATTCTCATTCCTGCTCTCTTCAGTTGAGACCTGATCACAGGTGCTGGGGGGGCTGCCACACCCCCTGGCTTGAAGTGGTTTCCATCATATCCAGGGTTTACAGTTTGGTTTAATGGCTCTCAGCCCCTGCTATACTAATTGTTCCAGCACGCATGGTCCTAATCCTGAGAAGATCCAAGATTCCGGTTTTGGCCCTCATTTGTTGTTGTTTATATAATACCAGTAGGGTGCTCAGTGCTGTATAGATAAAGTCCCTGCCCCGAAGAGCTTACACTCAAAATAGCAGTAGATCCGGTCCTATTAGATGCAACATTGTGACCCAAATCGTAAGGTCCTAACTGGTTTGCTCAGTTCTTCATCAGACAAAGTCAGTGAGCGTTCGGAATGCAAGAACCTGAGGTTTTGGGCCCATGGCAAAAAACTTAGCCTTGGATAAGAACGTCACCCCACCATTGCATTTCCCATCCCAGCCCTGAGAGGGGCCACCAGTGCAGACCATAGTAGTAATAATAAGGTTTTGCATCTTCCATGTCCTATTTTTGCTTTCAAATGGGCAAGAAGTGGCTTGAAAACAGCGGTAGGGTTTTCAGGATTTGTCCCCAGCTGGTTATCGAAGCTGCTCCTAGCTGTCTACGGACACACTGATGAAATCAACAGATCTCTGAGCGAATAACTGATCTCGCTGGGTTTCTGGGATCGAGCTCTCACTAGGCAGCTCTCCATGGCACCACGGCCATTGAGCTGCACTTGGAACCGATGGGCTGCTGACATGCCAAGGATGTAGCTATGGGACAAATCCAGAAGCCAGTTACCGTGGTTTAAAGGAATGTGATGCCACCAGAGGCCCATGGAAACAGGCTGCTTATCAGCCAAGAGATCCCAGGACAGTGTGTAAAAGGGTGGAAGGGGCCCTCTCCCGATCCACTATTGGAAGTTGCCAAGCTGTTTAGTGGGAAGGGACCATAAGCAGTAGGGCTTCTCGGGGAATATGGCGTAACTCCATTTTCTGCAGCTGAGGTTGGATTCTGGCTCATCTTTCACAAAAGCCAGATTGAACTGACTTCAGGAGCGTTCTTCAGGATTTAGAGGTGTAACTCAGAGGAGTATCTGGGGCAGAGCATATCCTAGTAATCCTCATTCGGTTCCCCATCCTGCCCCACCCTCTTCCCCTTCCTACTGATTTCTCTGCTTAATCCCAAAAAGGGGGAGGGGAGGGAAATATCATTTTCAAGATGCTTATTTTGGTGGGGGAGGGGGAAGAGAAGTCAATATTTTTTTTTTCCGGTGGAAAGAAAATGATCCAAAAAATCAACATTTGAATATAAAAATCACACCCCGTTCTAGTGCTGAGTTAACACACGCCAGGGCGGTTATTCAAAATGGTCCCACTCGCCGGCTCTATTTTGGCTTCTTGCGTGATCAGTAACAAGAGTTCTGCAGCTGAAACTCAGCTGGCAATCCAGGAGGCGGCTGAGAATCCAGCTCACGCTCCCATAGCTGAACTGGCTTTGCTGAGCTGGCGGGAATGCAAACTTGTTTGCGTCGGTGGGAGCAGCACATCTGACTGGAAGATGCACAGGGAGCAAAAATGTTGAGACAGAAGGGACCGTATTTACATAGTTACTTTTCTTCTCGTAACAACATTTTAATGACCAAATATTTATTAAAGGTCAAAAGCATTGTTTATAGTAAGAAGCAATTTTCTTACATAAGCTGTAACAGATCAGGCATTGGATATACATAAGAGGAAACGGGCAGGTCAGAGCAGTGTAAGTTATAATCAATTTTATGCTGCTATTAAGGAAGTTCTATCAAAATTTTATTCATTCCATTCCATTTGCTCCATCCTTCCTCAAGTAGTTCAGCTGTTAGCCTAACTCAGACAGCAGGGGTCTGATCCTGCTCCCTCTTTACTCTGATGTAAATCAGGACTAA